TTTTAGACTTGCTACAGTATCGAAAATAATATTTATTGCATGATGGGTACCTCTATGTGTTCTAAAGCCAAACTGTTTTTCAGTAAAAAAGGTGATTAAACTCCATATAGTAGTACAGTCTGCTGGAAATGATCTTCTCAAGAACTTTTCCAGTGACTTCAAGTAAAGATATAGGTCTATAGTTCCCAGGTTGGTGGATGTCTTTATTGGGCTTAGCAAGAAAGATCATCCTAGCAGCCTTAAAAACAACTGGAAAATGTCCTGAGTTCAAGATGGCATTAAAGATATTAACCAAAGACTTTACAATTTCTGGGTAGGAACTTTATTTGTTTCATTTTTATTCCAGAGAGACCAGGGGCTCTATTTCGCATTCTTCCAATAACCTGACTCATCTCGAGTAATGTAATAGGTCTAGTAAGCGGGTGGGCATCTTCAAGAGTTGATGTATCGATGGAAGGTAGTGGTTGTAGATCATCTAGGTTCTCATCTCTCCATTCATTTATCAACTGATAGTGATTATTGTTAAATCAACGACTGTTATTGTGGGAGAGAATTTTCTCCCATACATCACCCATCAAATTAGCCTGGTCCTGTGGATCATCAAGTTTAATCTCAACATCTTCATCATCCTTGTCAGTGAAGGTATGAATTAGGTAGTCAGGAGCCTTGTGCTTTGCCCCTAAAAGTTGTCGGATCTTACTCCAAAATTTTGCTGGCTCATGTTTATACTGATTAGCTTGGAGAACTAGCAATTTCCATAAGTCATGTTTGTGATGACTAATCATGTTAATTAATTCTTGCCTTAATCTGTGCAATGTAGCTACTGGTGGTTGTCGCGTTTGAAGATGCCTTCGACATTCTGTTTGATAATTTATCAAAGCATCTCTAATTTCCCTCGTAGGTTTATATTGTTGGTAGATCTTTGTGGAAGCTAATTGGCAAGTTGCATTAGTAGCATCAATTATTCGATTGTGAAGGGACCTGATCGCGTCGTCAATTGCAGTGGAAGGTAGATTTTCCGACACAATTTCATCGTCACCCAGAAATGCCCTGAAGGGGTCAAATCCTAGTGTGTTGAGATTGGGTTTAGGAGGTACAGGTATTCTAAATGGAGAAGTTTGTAGTTGTATTAAAACAGGGATATGGTCAGATCCTACGTCTCCACCAAGAGAGATATGACAGTGAAAGAGGTCACAGTCTCTGTTTGTCAGGACTATATCTGGTGTCCTTGGATGAGGACCAATATACAATTTAAAGAATGGGCCTTGAAATGACAAGTTTCTGGCTGTCATGATATTAAATAGTTGTTTTCCTTTCAAGTCACCCAGTGGATTACCAGCTCCACAGTTAAAGAGGGCATGGTGATGAGCATTAAAATCTCCCCCTAGAATTGTTGGAATATTCCTGCTTAATATCCTATGTAGAGGAATTGACTCTATATATTGTTGTCTCGGGGGAAAATATCCAGTTCCTATCACTAGTTGGCCATGAGACGTCGTCATTTCTATTGCAAGAATGTTATCTTCATCAACATGAATATTTTTAAATGAATAGCCTAATTTATCTAAGATGGCTACGCCACTATAGGGTCCTCTCGATTTCTCCACAGTAGAGTAACCACGTAATTTAATATGTTGATCAACTCTCGCAGCTGTCTCATTCAAGAGTATAACATTGGGACTGTAATTATGTAGTTCAACTTCAAGGAGGTAACGGTTATTAAAGAAATGTTGAACATTAAGTTGGAAAATTGTAATCCCCATTATTTCTTGCACTTCGCACGTGTACTGCGGTCTGAACGCCTGCAAGTAATGTCATGTTTGGTATCCACACTATCCCTGCTGGACTTGTCAAGGGAAGGAGGGAAGTTCTGAGTAGTTGCTTGTGCATTAAAAATGTCACCATCCTCACTAGAATTGGTAATATTAACAGAATCATTAGAGTCATCATCAGAAAACTGAGGTGTGATATTCCAAGTTTCAGGAAGCAGAGGCTCGTGAGAGTTAATGGGAGACTGTGGAGGCTCCAAGGGAAAATTTGGTAGGCCAGGTGAATTACCCTGGGAAAGTTCCTGTTCAACAGGATCAGCTGCAATAGCGAAAGAGTAAGCACCATTCTCTGGGGCATCGTTAGGGTCAGGTATTGACTCATCGGGTTGAGGGGAGTTGACAACCTGGGTATGCGAGGTGGGTGATCCCTGGACAAGGGATGAATTAGGCTTATTTGTATAAGTAGAGTAGGGCACATACTTCTTGTTATGAGAAGGCTGGGTCATAATAACCTTCACATTATCTGGGATAGTGATGGGAGTGATCCCATTAGCCATTAACAAATCATTTAAAATCTTAGAGCAGAGTTGAATGTCACCACCTGCTATGTCTTTGGCCATCATATATATTAGTTGCGCTCTCGTCATATCCCCGGCTGAGGATACCTGAGACATGGGGGGTGAGGCTGAACCTTGTTGTTGCGTTTGTGTATGTTGTAGGTGAGGGTTAGATTGGCGCACTCCAAGAGGGGCAGTATTCCAAACATTGGAACCAGTGGAAGAGACCTGAGGAGTCCCACTAGATCCAGGCAAAGCTGGGAAGGAAGTTTGGGACATTGCTGGAGGTGCCTGGGGAATGGTCTTCTTAGAAGTGGATAGTTTCTTAGCTTATAGAATTTTCTGCATTTCCTTTTTCCTCTCAGGACAGACAGCAGAAACAGCATGATGTTTTCCATTGCAGAGGACACACCTGGGCTTAGTTTTGTTATTACAATCTTTAAAAGAATGTTGCCCAGAGCATATGCTGCAAATCAGTGTTTGAGTACTACATTTATTGGTGGTATGACCAAATGCGTAACATTTGTAACATTGTGTAACACTGATAAACTGCTCAAGAGAGATTTGGTCAGGTGTACATCTGGTGCCAAAACATTTGAAGCCATTTGAAACACTAGTTTGGCTTCCTCAGGTGTCTCAAATATTAACTTTAATGTTACCTGGTTGTTGCCAGGTTTAGAGAATTTATATGCTTGGACAGCCTTAAATTCAGAATTCTCAGTATTAGTCATCAACAATTTCCTGCACTGTGCTATTTCTCATGAAGCTGTTAATTCTGGCAACAAACACAGTTCGCTGAGCTTGATAGCTTTCAGGTGCAAGTGAGTGGATACCAAAGGTGTTCAATTTTTCTAGGACGTCCTGCTTAAGTAGTTGAAGTAACTTTTCTTCAGAAGAGAGAAGAAGTACTACCCCAGCGTGGGTTTGAAAAACATCCACTGGAGCAACAGTTGAATTCGAGCAAATACATGCTAGAATTTCTTTCACCGACTTTTTGTTGCCATCAACTACGACGTAATCTTACTCTTATCCACGCCATGATGTCCAGGAAGGTACATCTGGCACAGAAGTAGCTTTAACAAAAAGTGGTCTTTTCTTAGAGTTAGTCTAACATCCTACGTCAGCTGACTTATGAAGGTCAGCCCCTAAGATAGCCTACCCTCGAGTGGTGAGGGGGAAAGGGCTCAAGGCAAAGATCGGCCGGATTTTAAAAAACCACACGGGCTACCGGATGGTCAAAATGCCTTGTGTTAACTCGCCAAAGCAAAGTTGCTGAAAAAGAAGAAGATAGAAAAGTCAGAAGGATAGCAATGTATGTAGTGTGTTAGTGTGTGGGCCAGTGTAGATGTTTGGGTGAGGGGAGGATGGAGAAGAGAGGGGTGAACAAGCAAGCAAGTCACCGCCTTACCCTCTTGATGGGATGGGGCTCGAAGTGACTGCAAGCAAGTTTCCTCTCAGCTCTGGTTAAGAACAACTCAGGATAACCCAAGAAAAATCTCGAGTAACAGTGTTCAGAGTTGCTCTGCTCGAGAATTACTCAGGATAACTGAAGAGCAGGAACGATGACGTCTTCTCTCCACGGCGGCTGGACGGCTTCTCTGTCAGTGTGTATCTGTTGTGCTTCGACTACTAAAGCAGGAATCTGCTGATTTACTTTTGCCTATGAACTTGTCACAGTTCCTTGACAATGTGAGTAGTCATGAAAGCACCTATGAACTTATAATATTCATGAGGTACAGACACTTCAAATGTGGGAAAGTTAGTATTTAGCACATGTGTAAGTTTGCACATAGCACTGCAGTGTTGATTATAACTGGATGGATGTATTAATAATTTAATGTAGGAAGTTATGTTAGACACAATGACTTCAAAACTGGTGAAGTCTCCATCACAGGCCATAAACATGACCAGAATCTGTGACTCCTAGGAAGATAAACAATTTAAATATCAAAACTGACTCCAGTTTCCTCACATTTTAACCCTGATGATGCAGAGGATATAAAAATATTGCATGTGCTGACAGATGATGCAGGAAACAGCTAATTTACTCTCATCTGACAGACATGAAATAACATCTCTAATCTTACATCTCGGGATGACTTGTGGCTGGTGACAATTTCAGGATGCAGCATGACAAATAATCACAAGAAAGACCAGGAGGTAAGGATCCTAGATGGAGTAAGATTGGCAGTTATGCAGAGGGCCTATGAGTCTGGGAGGATGAAATGGTAAGGAAAATATGGGTAGGGATTGTGAGAGAGATTTTGAGAGGTAAGGACCTCAGCATCCAGCCAAAATATGACACTGTTAGCATGAAGGCAATATCTATGAAATGATTTACAGAAGCCAGCCAGCTGGACTTCAGTTTTAGAAGATTAAAGCACAATACTTGAACTTTGGAATTAGGATGAGAATGTTGCATTTCAGTGGGTCAACAATGGACAGTGATGGAGTGAGTGATGATGAAAGTGCTTCTTCTTTTTTGGGTCACCCTGCCTTGATGAGAAATGGACAATGTGTTAATAAAAGAAAATTGAACTGTGGTGTCAATTCTCTACAAAAAAGACATCTAGTGTAATAGTGAGTTTTCTGCTTTGAATCACTCTGCCTGAGAGAAAATGGCCAGAAAAAAATAATACCTTGATAAGAATGCACAAAATAAATTATAATGAACCTTAATTTAGCTTCAGTTGGATGAGATGTGGCCATATTTGTGATGACAATTTGTGCCTCTGTCCAGCGTCCTTGATGAAGCAGGTCATTGAGGGTGATGTGGGCTTGAGCAAACATCCAAGTGTGAGAATGTTGTCCATAAGCAGGGAACCTCTCCTGGGCATGTTGCAACACATCACCTGCCAACTGGTATTCACCCTGAAAAGAAAAAAAAATATTAAATATTTTATTTCGTGGATAAGCTGTAGTGGAAGGAATGGTTAGAAGGAGGGGGGCAAAGGAGGTTTTGTGTGTGAGGGGTTTAGACTTGCAGCAAGCATGCATGAGCATGTTAGGAGCAAGTGGAGGGAAATGGTTTTTATGATGATGTGTTGTTAGTGTGTGAGCAAGATAACATTTATGAAGGGATTCAAGGAAACCAGTTAGCTGGACTCAAGTCCTGGAGGTGGGAAGTACAGTGCCTGCACTCTGGCACTCTGAAGGAGGGATGGAGATTTTATTTTATATTTTTTATTAACACATCAGCTGTTTCCCACCAAGGCAGGGTGGCCTGAAAAAGAAAAGCTTTCATCATCATTCACTTCATCACTGTCTTGCCAGAGGCACACTCACACTACAGTTATAAAACTGCAACATTAACACCCCTCCTTCAGAGTGCAGGCACTGTACTTCCCATCTCCAGGACTCAAGTCCGGCCTGCCAGTTTCCATGAATCCTTTCATAAATGTTACCTTGGTCAAACTCCAACAGCACATCAAGTCCTAAAACCATTTGTCTCCATTCGCTCCTATCTAACATGCTCATGCATGCTTGCTGGAAGTCCAAGCCCCTTGCACACAAAACCTTCTTTACCCCCTCCCTTCAACCTTTCCCAGGCTGGCCCCTACCCACACAGTTTTTAGCCATAGTGTAGTCATGTCTCTGGCAAGACAGTGATGGAATGAATGATGTTGAAAGCATTTCTTCTTTTTTTGGGTCACCCTGCCTTGGTGGGAGATGGCTGATGTGTTAATAAAAAAATATTAAGCTTTCATTTATTTACATTAATTGCATCATTCTGTAACAGCAGAGACAGCACTACTGCAGATACACCAAGGAGAGGGTTGACTTGCACATCTAAATAAAGTATATGACAAAGTGAACAGTAAGGTTACTGTGTGATGAATGAATTTAGTGGAAGGAATACTGAGGTGCCTTTTCAAGTGTTTTAAAAACTTAAAAAAAAATAAAAAATGTAAAACTGAAATATGACTCGTATATAGATTACATAACTAAAATTTCATAGAAATCTGTGACAACTCCCATTTTGTATTAGATTCTTTATCTTCTAATGCCACACCTCTCCCGAACACCCCTGCATTCATTTCTCTTACAAGACCATCTATAAATACAGTATTAAACAATCATAGTGACATCATTCATTCCTGTCTATGGCCTACTTTTACTGGAAAATAATCTCCCTCTCTCCTACATACCCTTATCTGAACCTATCATAAAAACTCTTCACTGCTTTCAGTAACCTACCACCTATTCCATTCTCTTGCAACATCTGCCACATTGTTCCCCTATCCATCCTATCATATGCCTTTTCTAAATCCATCAATGCAATGAAAATTTCCTTACCTTTATCTAACTATTCTTCACTTATATGCTTCAACGTCAACACTTTATCTACACATCCCCTACCCTTCCTAAAGCGTCCTTGCTCATTTGCAATCCTGCTCTCCATCTTACCCTTAATTCTTTCAATGGTAACTACCATACATCAAAATGGTATACAATACCGACAGGTTGTTAGGTAAGACACATATGCAACAGTTAGACAACTTTATTCCGAAACGTTTCGCCTACACAGTAGGCTTCTTCAGTCGAATACAGAAAGTAGGCAGGAACAGTAGAGATGTGAAGACGATGTAATCAGTCCATCACCCTTGAAGTCGTAGAATTTGAGGTTGTCAGTCCCTCAGCCTGGAGCAGTTCAGTTCCATAGTCAGGAACTGAACTGCTCCAGGCTGAGTGACTGACAACCTCAAATTCTACGACTTCAAGGGTGATGGACTGATTACATCGTCTTCACATCTCTACTGTTCCTGCCTACTTTCTGTATTCGACTGAAGAAGCCTACTGTGTAGGCGAAACGTTTCGGAATAAAGTTGTCTAACTGTTGCATATGTGTCTTACCTAACAACTACCATACACTTTACCAGGTATACTCAACAGGCTTATTCCCTTATAAATTTTACTCTTTCTTTTGTCCCCTTTTCCTTCATAAAAAGGAACTATGCATGCTCTCTGCCAATCCATAGGTACCTTCCCATTTTTCATACATTTATTGAACAAGAGTACCAACCACTCCAAAACTATATCCCTACCTGCTTTTAACATTGCTATCTTGATCTCATCAACTCCTGCTGCTTTACGCACTTTCATTTTACCCACAGCTTCACACACCTCTAACACTTTCATAGCTGGTTTTCCTCACTCCTAAAAGATGTTATACCTCCCTAGCCAATGCATGAAATCATTGCTCCTCTTTCTTCATCAACATTTAACACCTCAAAATATTCAAATATTTCCACCATCTTCCCAATACCTCCAATTCCCCATCTAATGACTCCACTCTTCTGTTTTTAACTCTCAAATTCATTTGTTTCCTAGGCTTTCTTATCATTTTTAAAAATATGTTATGTACCTCAAACATTATTACTCACTTTGTACTACTCTCTAATCAATGCTTACATTACTTACATTATTGTGCCTCGGGATCTACAACAGCAAATCACCTAAGACTAATAACTCAACAAAATGCTGCTATCAAAATGATCATCAAGTTTTGGACAACACAAACCTACATATTTCAAATTTACTCAACACAGAAAACATCCACTCTTACTAGGACAATCAAAATAAATGTATACCAAGCCCTGAATTTTTCGTAATGTGCTTATGCACATTACAAAAAACAAATTCCTCTTTCATGTCCCATGTATTTGACTCATCCTCAACAAAATATCAGTACACAAAAAAGTCCCAAAACAAAATTATTCTTCTCAAGCCTGCATATCCAACATTCATTCTCATGTGCTTACACGTACCATCTGACTTACGACCAAGCTTGGTTCTGATCAATCGGCCACAAGTCAAAATGGACGTAAGTAGAAATTAGAAAACTACCAATAGGGATACTTCAAAAATTAAATCTTAATGAGACTCACGAAATCGTAATGACACGATTGCAAACAAACCATACCACGGGCTAACGTGACGGTCTGGAGTTTTGAGACTCTGATCGCGGGTTCTATCCCCGCCCGTGGTATGGTTTATTAAATCTTAATCTTGTAAAGCAATCATTCTTTTACGTTTGTTGTGGAAATAACTTCAATCTGTTCATTATTATTGACTGATTTTTATAAAATAGGTGAATAACTTACTTCCAAGATAATAGCCGAAAGCGTGCACATACTCAAGTACAGTGGACCCCCGCATAACGATCATCTCCGAATGGGACCAATTATGTACGTAATTGTATTTATGTAAGTGCGTTTGTACGTGTATGTTTGGGGGTCTGAAATGGACTAATCTACTTCACAATATTCCTTATGGGAACAAATTCGGTCAGTACTGGCACCTGAACATACTTCTGGAGTGAAAAAATATCGTTAACCGGGGGTCCACTGTACTTGGGAATTTTTTTCCTGGAAAAAATCCCATTTTTTTCAGTGTTTTTGTAAGCATTGAGTGTCTATAACAGTTTGCCCTCATGCTAGATCCGTTTTCTCTTATAAGAGTGACGATAGAAGGGACATTAACCCTTTGAGGGTTTTGGTCGTACTAGTATGTTTTACGCGTAGGGGTTTTTGACGTACTAGTACTCATAAATTCTAGCGGCCTCAAATCTAGTGGGAGAAAGCTGGTAGGCCTTCATGTGAAAGAATGGGTCTATGTGGTCAGTGTGCACAGTCTAAAAAAAATCCTGCAGCACACAGTGCATAATGAGAAAAAAAAAACTTTGACCATTTTTTTTTAATAAATCAGCGACTTTGCAGTGTATTTTCGTATGGTATTTATTGTTGTATTTAGTTTTTTTGGGTTTCATTTTATAGAATGGAAGACATATTATAGAAATTGAGATGATTTTGACTGGTTTTACAATGAAAGGTGCCTTGAAATTGAGCTCAAAGTAGCAGAAATGTTCGATTTTTACCAAACTTCAAAGTAAACAAATCGTGCCAAGCGTGCAATACACGTCAACTGGTGAGTCTAATATTCTTTTACAAGTGCACCAATAATATTTATACCATTTTTTACACTAATGCAGTAGTCTGCATAACAGTAAATCTTATATTTTTTGTGAGAATAAAAATTCAAAGTGGAAAGCAAAAGGATATAAGAGGGCCCTTGAGACGTGACTAATGACTAGAGGAAATGTCATTTTAGTGCCAGGAATGTCTTTCTTGTTTATTCTGGACCCTATTCGGAAATTGGCATCTTTTGAAATTTGGTGTGAAATTGGCAAAATTGCTAAATTCTGACCACTGTACTGGATAGTTGAATTTATAAATGGGTGGTTTCTTGCACCCATTCGATAGAAAAAATGGAAAAGTTCTAGCGAAATATTCATGTTTTTTGTCGACTAGTACAGTGAAATTGGCCGAAAATGGGGCTCAAAGTGGGCAAAATCGCCGATGCGTAAATATCGCCGAGACCGCTAACTTTGCGAGAGCATAATTCCGTAAGTTTTCTATCAAATTTCAAACTTTTGGTGTCTTTATGATCGGGAAAAGATTCTCTATCTTTTCATAAGAGAAAATAATTTTTTTTTTTTTAAATTTGGCCGACCCTGAGAACGAGTTTCGGAGAGGGCCTGTCGACCCTCAAAGGGTTAAGCCTTATGGTCGGTGGTGTCCACAAAGTCCCTTTCCTATCTGTGCAGCAGGCCTTCATATTATGCTATATAATATTTATTCTGGTGTATTTTTTGTGTGTCTATGCCTTATGTCATAAGAAATCAATTGTGATAGGTAAATAAGCCTTATTGTTGATATTAGCATAAAAACAGAACATTTTGTTGGCTGCTCTCTCTCGCTTGTGTCAGCACTTCTACCCAGAATATTCCTGTATATCAACATCACAGCTATTGTAATGATTTATTTTATTATTTTTGTATTTTATTTTTTACTTTTTATGCTGTTAGTATT